AACTTAGAGCTTGTTTGGTAGGGATTTTTTGGGGGAATAATTGATTTTGAATAGTGATATGATGGGAAATGTGTGGTTGAAAAAGAAGATAAGATTATTGATGTGATAGAAAATATTATTTTATTGAAAAATGTGTGGTTGAAAATGAGAAAAGTAATTGTGATTTTTTATTTTGATTTGGCTTGGGGTGAGGGTGAGTTGGGGTAGGGGTAGGGGGATTGGATGAAGAAGATGAAGTTTTGTTTTCTTTTATATTTTTAAGAATGCATACAATGTATAGACGATTTTATCCCTTTGATATCAATTTTTGTATTAAACGATTCATGTCTTGTAAGTAAATGTCTTCAATATTGATGTCGTGTACGTCTATGTCTTCAAGGAAACCCGATGGAATAAAACTTAATGACTGTGGCAACATGATGATTCAATAAATAGCTCTTGTTGATCTCTTCAAGAGTTTCATACATATTAAAGTATTATTTTGAAGGTAAATGTCTTTTAGGTTATGAACATTCATTACACAAAAAATATGCTCCGTTAAAATCTTATTAGAAAAAATCTTGTGAGAAAAATCATAATGAAGGAAAAAAATATATTATTCTTTTGAATAGGCTACAAAAATTGTCTTGTTAAAAAATTTTCAAGGAAAACCCAATGGGACAAAATTAAAAAAGAGTACAATGCGTATATATTTTCCCTTGGGATAATATACTTTAATTATGCATCAGATATATTAAATCCTTCAAGGATAGTACTAAATTTGTATAAGATAAGTTGACTATAATCACATTTATTATATGAATATTTAAATTTCATGCGTTGTCATACTAATAGAGACTTGTGATTACATACTTCACATGATAACTTATCTATTTATACAAGTCTTTGCGAATTCATGATGTAATGAGTTGTACATTTCATATTACGACTTTTATTTTATTTTTTTCATTTTCATTTTGTATAAACATACACCTTTAGGTGTTCAGACTGTAGATCTAGAAACTTTGGATTTCTCTAGTAAGTTCAATTTTAGTATGATCGAGTCATTTTATTTGGTTAATCATTACTTCAATCAATATGTTTCGACGAATTTATTTCTTTTTGTCGTTATTCATAATATGATGCAGTACATCATGTGCAAAAGTATTATTGACAACTTTTTTCAATTCTTTTTCTTTCTCCATAATAACATAACTTATTGAGATATCTCAATTTTTATTATTTCAAATACATGAACTTCTTCTGTGATTTTAAAACTTGTTATATCTAAATACTCATCAAGAGTATATGCCTCTTTAATATGACCATCTTTGCTAATTGCTCCATTTGCTAATTGTCCTCTAGGACGTTAATTCGAGTTGGAGTATTTGAAGCTGATGTGTGAGATATTATTATTCTCTTTGATCAGTAAATGCATCTAAATGAATTGTCTTTCAAATATCTAGTTCGAACGATCTTTTGGATTGATTTAGATAATGATGCATTTGTACATTAATTTCAACTTTTTAATTCCTCCCCATAATGCTGAGAAAATTGTTAGATCAAATTGATAATCAGTCAATTGCGTTATAAATTTTCACCCGTTAGTGCTTGAGATATGGTATAATGGTTCAAACCATGCATTTCGTCTCGACATTGTTTACGTTTCATCTCAGTGCAATGTAGTGGATTAATTTTATATATATATTGTACTATCAGAATAAGTAGATAAAAAAATTAGGCTATGACCATAAGCTAATTATAACAGGAAGAACTATCATGTTGACATGATGCATAATAACATTCCCTAAACAGAAATGGCAAGTACTTTGTTTTCAATTAAATTAATTGGAAACGTTTAACAAACAATAATGTTAAACTATTGATCGACATCTCAACTAACAATTATCAAAATGTTGAGATTAAGGATCACCAGTATTAACAAAACACACTGTCTTGATTGTGTAATCTGAAAATTATGTTCATAATATAAAATTTGAGCAATAATTTCGTAAACTTCAGGTTACGAATACCATGCAATCATCTAACAGATGTATCAAATCTATTAAATACAAATAATATCTATATGGTCAACGTAGAGAGTGATGGGATCCCATATATCATCCTAATTAATTTTTGAATTCGATCCTTATTTTAGCTAGTGACAATTAATAACCAATTTTTAATAAAAACAAAAAAAATCATATATTAATTTTTTGGATTGAAGAATCTTCTGGTTCTTTGTTAAATGTCCATTTGAACGTTTAATTTCACACCATTATAGATCTAGTGATAGTCTAACTGGACATGCCAAATAATAAAACATAAAAGTTACTGAATTTCTGATTCAATATAATATTTACCAAAATGATCACTAGAGTTGAGTATAGTGAACCAATTCAGAAATACTATTAAAAACTTTGTAGTTCTCTCTTTTATTTAGTGGATAATAAATTACTAGGAATAGTGAGTTTATCCTTTCATATCATATAATATTGACTCTTCGAAGTCTCAAAACATTGTTTTTTTAGGAATATTGATATAAATAAACTATTTCTTCTTTATAAACAATTCATTAAAATTGCAATTCTCTAGGATCAATACAATATTTACATTGAAATGTCTAAATTGTGCTTCTTCAAAAATAACCACATAATATTTTCACGAATATTAATAAATATAAAATTGAGCTTATTTGAGAGTAACATAATATTCTCTAAAAATTTTGATTTGTAATAATTGATCCAAACAATTCTATAATATTATTTTGGAATATTTAAATGTCTGAATCGTGTTTCGTTCCAGCATAATAATTGATTATTTTTCTAATATATTAATTTAATATAAAAGCACGCTTCTTATAAAGCAATATGCAAAATATTCTTCTGGAATATTGAAATTTTAATATCATACTCTTCTGGAGCATGTAATATTTTTTTTGAAATATTAATTATAATGTGGTTCTACTTTGGGAGTAACAACAAAATATTTGTAATAAACAAATCTACAACTAATATTCTTCTGGAATGTTAATAATTATATTGCTATATAATTTAAAGTTATATCAGATTAAATAACTGTATTGCTTTGTTATATAATTTAAAGTTAAAAGAATATTTACTTTTTCATTGAGCATATTAAAAGAGTTTCTTTGTAAACTCAATTGGCTACAACTTCTTATCTTTCTTTAATTGAAGGAAAAAAAATCTATCTCAAGATTCTCAACTGACTAAAAATTTGAAAGCAAAAAAGAAATATAAATTTTGCTAATTCAATTGGTTAAAATTTCGTGATGATAACGTGTTACAAGCTAGAGAGAAAAATATAGAGAAGTTAATAGAATTATGTGTTTTATTAAGAACCAAAATTTCATATTTATAGGAGAAATTAGATATACAATGATAATAAAAATTAGGACGGCAGATGTACAATGTTCATTCACTAATAAATATATTATTTACAACAACTTTCTTTTTATTTTATCTTATTTATATTTTTAATTATTTGCATAGAAAAGAGCGATAAGACGTGTTGAAGTCTCTTCTAGAGTGATGGCATATCCGCATATGGTAGCCACCATGCCACATCAAATTGACATTTCTCAATTTACATTCTTCTTGTGTTTTGGAATCTGAAAAATTGGTTTGCATTTTGCATCAACACCTGGTTGAAGCTCAAATGGAGTGTCGTAGAATGCATAACCGGGAGAGATGGGTGAATAGTTCTAACAAATTTTCATCAAAATTGTAGATTGGCACTAAAAATGAAAGGCAAGAGAATTTTAAAGTTTAAAAATGAAGGAAAAGGAAAATCGAAGACTTTAAAGTGATCCAAAATCGACTAAGGTTATTAGAAGGATAGGACAGTTCAGTTACTGAACCCTTTTTTTCTTTTGCACCATAGATGGTCATTGAACATTTACAAAATCGTCCAAGTCAAGTCACTTTTCACATATCTGTAAACAAATTTATGATTTTGTTGAGGCTTCCAGTCTTATAATGAATGGTTGGTGAAATAGCATTAATAATCTAAAAAAAATGGGTTGAGGCTTGTTGGTAAAAATTTACAATTTTTACGATTTTGTTGAGGCTTCCATATGCTACTTTGGTATATACAACTTTAACGCGTGATTTTGACTTCAAATATAAACGTAAAAATGAATCATTCGAAAGTAAACTATTAGTCTGTCACATAAGTCTTGTCATCGGACATGTCACCAAATTCATTAAATTGACGATAAATTAAGGCTAATCTAAGTTATAGACTTGGCTATTTGAACAAATTTTAGAAGTAGGATGTGATGAGCGTTTCACTCAAACGGCCATAGAGTACATTTGTTGACGCAGTACATATTTACTAGCGTAGTAAGAAAATGCCATTGATAAGTTATTTGGTTGACTTGAGAAATTATAAAGTCTAAGATCATATCAATCCAACATAATACCATTTACTCAGTATTATCCACCCTAGTTTTATACTTAAATTCTTATAGGTTTAAGCCATTGTGCCAAATGCAACTTGATGTACTCTAGGTTTATACACCGATTATGATTTAGGCTCTATATTGTAATTGTATCTTCCATAAACCGTATGCGTGCATAATTATGATGTTAAGCATAACTATCGAACCTTTATGATACGTACTCTTCAAATGGTACAGTATAAAATTTAATAACAAATCAAAATACTTATTGAATAAAAGTTCGAGTACAAACTAAATTTTGATTGATCAAGACACGAATCATATAACTTTGACATTCGTATTTATTTTTCTTAATAAACCTTACCCCCAAAGGATGATAGTACTCATTGTTCTGTCATAGCAAAGTATGACAGTGAGGACTGAAGATAACAGGAATAAAGAGGTTTTTTCAATTTTCCATTTCAACAAGTTAGACATTCGTATTATTCAGACAGTTATTCAATACATTTAAGATTCTAACATGATCTGTCATGTCAGCCTTAGAAAACTCGTATACAAAATGGAAGCTCCTTCTGGACCCATCCTTCTCAATTTTCCCTTACACAAATTTAACAGAAATCGGGCTTCTAACGACACGTTTGTTGGAAGCCCAGCTTACAGCTCCTTGAACGAAACCGGCATTGACAGTGGCTAATTTGCTAAAACTTATCTGATATGTCATCTTTTGGTTGACTTCTGTGAAACTAAGCTGTAAGGGCTCGACAGCAACATTAACTCCTGGGATAATCTCAATATTAAGATTATAAGTTGAATTTGCCTCTCCTACATTTGTCACTGTTCTTGTATAAGTTTGAGTACTAGCCCCAAGTTGGATCGAAAATGAGGGATAATTCAGTTGTGCTTCAGGAATGCTGAATATATTGGAACAGTTAACAGGATGTTGCACAATGGTTATGATCTGGTTGTCTGTGTACCCTAAACCACAGAGATATGGGATATAATCATCAGGTTGGAGGTCGTAAATGAGGCCGGGATCATTTGCTTTTGATGGATTTACGTGGCCTGCACCAGTTGCGAATACGTCGGCTGGTAGGTTTCTTTCGTCAAGAATCAGGCCACCGGCTAGGTTAGCCTGAGTGGCGGAAGTCATGATTGCAGACTTGATGGCAGCCGGAGACCAATCGGGGTGTGAACTTTTGAGCAAGGCCGAAATGCCTCCAAGGTGAGGGCATGACATTGATGTTCCGGAAATCATGTTGAAAGTTGCTGATTTTTCGAAGGTGTTGTTGTCGACAGAGACAGGCCATGCTGCAAGAATGCTGACACCGGGGCCAATGATGTCGGGTTTAAGGATACCAGGACTGGCGAAGCTCGGGCCCCTCGAGGAAAATGATGTGACTGTTGGCGCATTTTTTATGCCTATGATGGTTCCTTCGAAGGAAATTGTTGCTGATGGAGTTGAGGTTGAGTTTATGTAGGCTTTGATTTTTTCTCCGGCAGCATAGCTAACGTGTGTTGCCGGAAGTACGTGAGGATCAGCTATCGTACTATAGCCATCGGGCTCCTGGTTCGTGAGAATCATGGCCAAGCCACCAGCATCCTTCACTTCTTGTCCTTTCGCAATTCTTGCTATGTCACCTCCTCTATCACATAATACTACCTGTTGAAAATAAACCACCACATGAATATTAATGAAGTAAAAAATAAAGGTCAATAAAAGACAAAGAAAACAAAAATTTGTATGGTCCGACAAAGTCACTTCCGTTGATGGGAGAAGAAGGATTGGTTCACTAATCAAAATTTCGAAGTACACTCTTATCACTCTCTCTCGATTTCAGTTTTTGCGCACAAATCACTTCTACACTTTGGTAAATTACTTTTCTTTAATTATTGTGTTCCCTAGGCTAAACTTTCCTTTTCTTTCTGCGAAATTCAACCGATTTTTCCAAATCCGGACTGATCAACTAGTTCATCCAAAAAATCGAGAAGGGTCTGAATTATAGTATAAAACTCGAAAATATGAGAACAGTTAAAATTGAACCAGCTGATTGACCCCAAATTTTTTTATCTATTTAAGGTTTTTACCCCAATATGACTCGCAGCCCGACCACTTCAGTCTTGACCCTTTTACTTTTATAAGCTAGATTTAAAAAATCAATTTGAATTGTGTCAAATATTCGACGCTACCTTCCCTTTCACATCAGTGTTGCTCAATGATCCCGGGCCGCAGAATGCCAAAGTTTCATTCCCATTGCTTCCAGGGTAAACTAGTGGCAAGAAGATAGGAGGAAAATCACTAGGCTGGAAAAGAGACTCCCCATCAAATTCTTCCTCGTCTCCTAACACTGCTGTTGCTCTTATGTTTCTATCAATTGTGCTAGCACCTACTGTGAGAATCCATGGGGCTTCGTTTGACAATGTAGTATTGAATGGACCTGAATTGCCTGCTGAACAACTCACAAAAACACCCTTCTGGATTGCACCAAATGCACCGATTGCAATGCCATCGGCAAAAAAATCATCTGATAATCCACCGAGAGAAAGAGAAAGCACGTCCACTCCATCAGCAACTGCGGCATCCATTGCAGCCAGTATGTCACTCTCAATACAGCCGGCTGTTGAACAAACCTTGTAAATAGCCAGGTGAGCAAGAGGGGCCATTCCGACTGCTGTACCATTGGCATTACCTGTTACAGATAAAATATAAATTAATAAATTATTGTGCCCATATAACAAGTTAAGCTATTAGATTAGATGGTTCTTGAGATATTTCATGCTTTTCATGGCAAACAGTATCTAGTATGCAGGTGAGGGGAGGTGTTCGAGATAACATAAATAAAGAAATGTCCATTCTTTTCTAACAATTTAAACTTTTAGATGGATGATTCTACAGGGTACGAGAATTAATGTCCTTCTCTTCTAAGAACTTGCTATTTTAGACCTAATTGCTAAAGATTAATAGAATTGTACTTAGTGTATGAAGTCTCTTAACAAGCTAAACATAATACCTTAATAGGAAAATATCATAATTGAATAAAAACGACATAATTATGGAATTAACCTTGTCCCTTTTTATTTTGGACCACATCCCTTACTATCAAGTCTCGTTGCCTTCCAATTTGTAAAAACAGTGCACGAATTAGGGTTTTAATCAAAAAATGAGTGGCCAAGAAATAGATAAAAAAAAAATGTTGCTATATCTACCAACTTAAATTTTAGATAAGGTTATTTAACATTACCAAACACGTTCGCATTTTTAACAAAGTTTCCAGCAGCCGTGCTAGCGGTATGAGTGCCATGCCCTTCTTCGTCGACAGGAGGTCCAGGAGTACCAGTTACAAAATTCCTTGCACCTATAATCTTGTTGTTACACGCAGTGCCATTTAGTTCACATTTCCCTTTCCATTTAGCAGGTGGAGGTGGTACGTCTTGGTCATCAAACGACGGATGGCCAGGAGTGATCCCGGTATCCAAAATTCCAACAATCACACCCTTACCATAGTTTGAGCCAGCCCAAAACCCTAAATTCGGATACAACCCCAAGAAGTTAGGAGTATGAGTTGTATGCAAAGAAAACCTTTTCTCTGGCCGGGCCGATGCAAATCCATCCTTCTTCTGCATTTCTTGCACTTCATCAGGCGATAATTTTGCTGCAAATCCAGCAACCACATTGTGATATGTGTGAACCATGGCCCTAGTTTCTGGCAGGAATGACTGGTACCAAGTTTTGATGTCTTCAGATTGTGTAATAACTTGGTTTTCAGGCAAATTTACAAAGACAATGTAAGTTTCTAAGTTTGTTTCCTGAGCCATGGATTCATAGAAAGTAAACGTGCTAATGATAGACAGAACACACATGAAAATATTCGTGTATGACATTTGTCTGAAACTCTCTCTTCTCTCCATAGTGATCATATGAAACTGCTAAAAAACTTGCTTTACTTTACAATGGGAAGATTGGTGCGTATATATAGCATATTTTAGAGAGAGGTAATACCAAAGCTGGCACCCCAGAGATTGTAAATGAAGTTAAATATTGTTCAATGCACGGTTTAAATAATAAATTTGTCATTTCTTAAAAACTTCAATTTTTAAATGAGTTAGCTAGTTTAACATATAGTATGGTAGCCAACAAAGGTATTAAATTCAAGTTTCATTGATGCCCTTTTATTAAAATTATGTACATATCACGCTTCGATGAAAAACTGAATTCAGCCTAGCTACACGTGAGGGGGCGTGTTAGAAGACGAATAAACTAATTTTCTTATTCTACCAATTTAATGTTTTAGACAAAGTTACTCAATAAGTTTACTATCATGTAATCGACGTCTTAAAAGGTGGCCTAAGACAGATTATATAACTAGAAGACGAGGACAAAATTCTGCACTAATAATTGGTAATGCCGCTGGTTAATTAATCCTAATAAAAACAAGAAAATGTTCGATTATTCTTAAGTTAATTAAGATTTTTTTTATGTAATTGTGCATTGGCCGGGATGTTTTTATCATATTGTAATTACTTTTTATAAGAATTAGCCAGATCGATATGAACTGGACTTGCTCTGCCGTCTCTTCCAGTTTAGTTTTGGAGTGTATTGTAAAGCTCAGCTCAAGAAATGAGCAGTCCATGCAGTTACTATATCAGCGCCAGATTACCGTCTCTCGAAGTGAACAATTGTGTTATTTAAATTTTAGACTCTCAGAACCAATTTCAATGACTAAAGTTAGGTGACTAATGCTTGACGTTTTATAATTCAATTATTCTGGGACATGAATCGGCCACATTAGATTTTGGTTAGCCATCTCAACAACCCCGTTAGTTTTCATTCGAGGGATTCGTTTATGGAACCGACGGGATGAACATCATTAAATTGAATCATGCTATGTGTACAATATCTGTTAACAATATTGATTGACAACATCCTGCTAAACATCATCTTATTCACCCATTTTCAAAATTGTTTGCTACATCACGGGCTTGAATTTTAATAACACATGACTGTCGACCATTTTTGTACGCTTGGCTTTATTCTACTTTTTGGCATTTTAAAGTTTGAGTACCATTTGGGAGCAAGCAATTTCTAGGACCACCCAGGTGTTGATGCCTGGATTCGGACCTATCACTTTGACATGCATTAATAAGGCGATTTGACCTCTTCAGGGATGGCCGAGTTAGTGGAGAAGATGAACGCGGAGACCAAAGATCACTAGTTCGAATCTCTTGCCAACACCTCCTCAGTCGAGTCCGTCGCTCTCATGTGTGGTTTGCGAGCTATTGCACATGGAGCAGGGTTTGTCTAGTGCACACTCACAGTGGTCGGGGCTCCGCTGGTGGGTAGCGACTGCAGGTTCCCGTGTCCACAATAAAAAAAGGGCGATTTGATCTGACATATATATTATTTTCTCTCCAGTTAAATCTTGCTATTAATTCCACATTTGGCCAACTGTAAAATCGACTAACCGAATCCTAGTCCAGTCTAGATGACATGTTACGTTGTTCAATCTAATCTTAATTGTATAGTTTATTAACGACTTTACTTGCATGTTCAAAGTAAAATAACGTTTTAGCTGTCAACATATTTTATACGATCCAGATGTATCACTAACTAAACAATATCATGATCTAGTTTAATTATCTAATAATTATTTTCAAGCTAAAATTGAAAATTATTCTTGCATTTTCCTCCAATTGTTTTATTTACCGATAAAAGAAACAGATCTAACTGTAGCATCGAGGTTACTGCTCACATATATCCAAGGATCAAAACTTAAAACTACACAAATGTCATTGATTAGTTCAAAAAATATATTATTACAAGTCGTAACTTTATTACACAAGATGACAGGTATGAGACGTCATTCTATAATATAATTAGTATCGAATGATGCTCATGTTTGATACATAATACTAGACTGCGTTGGAAATTGAGGTGGGACTAAAGTACATAACAACATTTCTAATCAGGTTTTCCCGTTAAAAAACTAACAATGATGTTGAATATGGAACATAATTTCAGATTTGTTGTCCCAACTTGACTATACAACTTCAACTGACAACTGTTTAAAAAAAAAAAAAACCTTTTTTGTTAATCAAATAAAGATTACATAGAACTGTATCAGAGCATTTTGGGATGTCAAAAATTGACTTCCACATTTCTATTATGCATGCAAAAGAGCTTAACATGACATGTTCTGAGAAGTTGTATATAGCCGTCAATATCCAGTATTGACCTCTCAATTTCAATAAAATGGCTGAGGTTGAAGGTTGATGCCATCTTGAATATCATTTGAGAAAAAATCGACTTTTTACTCTTAGCGAATGCCCGTACCCCTGTTAGCAATTCAAAATCAGGTTTATATACATTCGTGGGTCGAACAAAAATGTCATGAGAACAAATCAAATACCCGTTAATGCCAGAAACAGGACCGACTTCCTTTCTCCCATCAGTGCTGCATTGAATCTGCTTCCCTTCAAAGGATGTTACCTTTTGTTTCACTACTTGTTTTATCTGTAGAGAATTAAGAAAAACATCATATAATTATGACCGGTATATAGAAAAAGGCCATACAAAGCACAAGAATATGTTACCTCATGTTCTTGCTGGAAGGAACTCCATCTATTCTCTTTTGATCCCTTGTAGCGAAAACAATTACTCAATCAAGAACGTCAAAATGAAGTACCTCACGTTCTTTAAATGTTAAGCAATAAATTAACTATGAATAGGAATGAATAAATGGAACCTTGACAGAAAAGCTGATAGGCAATGGCAATTTTGTCTGAGAACCAGCAGTCGGTTGGTCAGATGTCAGAGAGAGCTAGTTCAAAATAGAGGGAAGATGTGTCACCAAAAAAAGCTCAATTATTCAATGTTTCAATAGCTTAGAGCCTAACAAGAAGTGTTCGTGGATGCACTTCATAGTTGCAAATTAAGGAACATAGAACTGCACTTCATGACTTTTTATGCAAAATGATTATAGAAAGAGAGGTAGGGTTCACAATTAGTTCTTTAATACAATTTCGGGCACGGTGCTGATGGGGAGGGCATTACAACAATCAAGTAGATGGGTCGTTATCAAATTTACCTTGTTTAAGAGTTCAATTGGTGGGTTATGTTGAAACCTCTTCTCCGTTCGGAAATTAAATTCCTGTGGTACCGGCAAAAAATACTCATTACGGTGTTTTATAATTATCAGTTTGAAAAGCACAAGAATCAAGTTTTGAATGCTAACTACCACTGGCACTGTAATTTCCTTCTTACAATTTCGGAAAACTCCAATATCTCCTTTGCTTGACAATATCTGCATATGATACAGAACTTGCTTTCACTATCTGGAGGACATAAAGTTTCCACTAAGTCTAACAAAAGATATTGAAAAAGTTACCTTCTGATTAAGGGGGAGAGCTTTAAATCCATAAGACAACTCACGCCCTTCCAGCCTTGAGGCATCCATAAGATTGGACCTAATGAAGAGGACATGTGTACCCACGTAATGCATAATTGTAGCCATTAATCGAAAAGCTGAATTTAGAAGAACTCAAATTGAAGTCCGCAAGGACTAGCAAGAACTATAGGACCCAGAAGATGTTCGATAGGCAAGCATAATTTATAAAGTTGCAACAAAATTCCCTGGCTTGACCATGCATGAAATTAAAAGAGGTAAATTATACCTACATAATCTTGGACGCTAAGAGGACATGAAAAGGATGTAGAAGTGTTAGTTCCCCAATTTATCATTCTAAGTACCACAAAATTGTACAGAAACTAGCAAGACTTCTAACCACACTAATGATCGTGTAACACAGAAATTGCTAAACAATGACAGAAATTCATTAAATCATTATTACCTTCTGGATTCTCCATTTGCAGATTCCATGAATATATTAGCACTAGGTACATGCAAGGCCTGCAACAAGACGAGGTACTCAACTACCATTGACATTATCATAACAAATCAGATTTAGAGACAGTTCACCACCAAGCAACCCCAGACCAAAATTACAACTTAGCTAAAATTTGTTTGGCACCTATTTTTCCGAGGCAAAAATGATTTTTTGGAGAATGTGTAGAGAATTGGGGAAAAGTTGTGGGTCTTGTAGAATGTTTGGTTGAAAATGATTTTTAAAAAATATATATATATATATGACAAACAAGTCTTTAAGGAATGTTCTTCCATCAAATCCACCCTCTTCACCCTCTGGGATTCCCGTGAAGCATATTGGACTATGCTAATTTCGTGAAAGTAATATTCTGAAAGGAACAGGAAATAATGGATAAGGTTTTTTCCATAATTTGTTGGTGCACAATTGTAATTTATAAATATCAGAGACGTAACCTTATCAGAATTGTTGCAGGGGAGAGTGGATGAAACTGCTGAGGAATGTTGCGTAGCCCTCTCTGAAGTCTTCAAATGAAATTCCTGAAACCAGCATAATGTAGGAAAAACAGCCATGCAAGTTATTTCCATGTACCTTAAGCATTCTGCAGGATCAAAATGCTTATTTGATGCTTACTCACTTGAAACTTCGGTAATCGAGGAGTGCTTCTTTTTGGAAGCAAAAGTGAAGGACCTTCAAGAATCTGAAAGATGCAGATATATCTCCAAATCATTAATTAATACATAGGTCGCAAACTTCATTTTCTAAAACAAGTTACTGACTTTTCTATTTAGTGGAAGAGCCTTGAATCTGAGAGTAGTTGAAGTCACATTCTCAGCTTCTTTACTAGCTTTTGGCCTGAAACTCAATCAATCAAACATGGCGTCCCAGAGCTTGTTAGAGGAAAATCCTTCTGTAACAATACAAAAGTAGAAGTG